CAAAAGTACTGAATTCTCTCACTCGTATCATCATATGACAGGGAAGGCTTGGGCTTTTTCTAGTACATGGTACTTCTAGGACCTCTTTTCCAGCAGCACATCAACATGCTTTCCCAGGAAGTCGTAACTAATTTCCACAGCCCAATCCTGATAGTTTCTTGGACTTGCAACTACTTGCTAAGTATACAGTCTTCAATGATCACCTCTACTTAAATTTGTAAGCTTCAGAAGAGTAGCAGAGGTGGGAACTAATGATAACAGTAATAAGAGGAGACGTTATGGCAATGCCTACACTGAATGATCAGAAACTATAGAACAGGAAGTTTAGTGACCAAAGATTTAAGATTGAAGCAAAGAATCAGCTCACACTTAAAACATGTTTGGATTTGCCTTAATTTATTGAAAAGAAAAAAAGATTCAAAAAATTGTAAAAGGATACTGATATATGGTACTCCTTACAACTCAAACTAATGAGAGTTTTGCTGGAGACCTTGGCAAGAACAAGGCTGACAAACTCTTTTAGTACTGCACTCAGGAGTTAAAAGAAACTTCTCTGCTGATTAAACACATGCATCTGCAGGCAATAATGGCAAGTAATTCACAGTCAGTTTTACCAATTTAGGATAGGAGCTACAGAGACACAATACAAAGGGCTACAAGTGCTTCTGTGAAGCTCTAAACTGGTGCAAAATTCAATGAAGTGCTCACCAGAGGGACTGTCACTTCATGGCATTACCTCTCCTTTACCCGTTTATGGAACACACATGAAAGCTGAAGGGTGCTCACAGGGAAGAGAGCTGACAAGGCCAGACCTTAACAGGGTGATGTTTCAACAGTACATTTGCAAGTTAGCAACTTTGCGTAATCCAAGGAGTGCCAAAAGGCACGGGGAGCCAGGGGGTGGGGGTGAAGGCAAGGGGAAATTAAAAGCCAGTCCACCTTCAGAAACATGCTTGCTGAGGTTACGTGAAAATCTCACTAGCTAGCAAACTGCTCAAAAGAGTTTTCCAAACATTTTCCAAGTAATTCAAAGCTGATTTGATCATGCTATACATACTTAATCCAGCTTCAAACCTTAGCTTTTATATATTGTCTTGCCTTTCCCCTCAAATAGGGGGGTGGGGGTGGCAGTAAATGCTACTCTGACCAAAAACTGTAGCCTGGCTTTCTCTACAAAACCTCTTTGATCCAACCTTCCTTCTCCTATTGCATTGTTCTCTCCTTCCCAATTCAGAGTGAAACTCTCATTTCAGTTTGGAAATGAATGCTCACTTGCAGACTGAATGGAATCCTTATGGGCTGTTATCTCAGACCCTAGAGATGCTTTCAGTTTAGCTGCATTTCTTAAACCTATGCTTGCTGATTAATCAGAAGCTGCTTGTGAACCCTTTTCAAGGACCTGGCACCCTATTTAAAAATCCCTGGACTAAGTCCAAGTAGTTAGGTGTTTTTTCAGGCTTCTCTATTCAATGCAGGGCATCAGACAGGTATTTTCAGAACTTGTTTCTCTACTTTGCTGGGTTTTACAGTGTGTAACTTCTCTAAAGATTAATCAGAAACAACAGCCTCTGGTTTTGCTGCAGTTCTTTTCAAAGTACTTAGAAAACTGGAGCCGTAAAAACAGAACCCTTACACTACATTTAAAATGGATTTCTGCAAATACTCCTGTAAGTGCTAGGACACTCACTGTTCCGGAGCGATATAGGCTTGCTACCAAGAACTATTCAAAATACCTGTATTCTGAGAAATCGGATGCTCAACGTACAGAGTGGCTACCCCGCAGTGTGCATCTGTGCCTTCTCCTTTGGAATCACATAAAGATGACAGGATCTAGTTTTTGAGGCTCTTGTTTTCTAAAGAGAAAAAAAACAACACACAAATAAAAAAATGGAGCAACACACTTGGGTAGCAAGGGTAGGCACGTGCAGGCCCAGTCCAAGTCTCATGTAAAGATTTGAGCCTCCAACTGCACATCCTTGCAACACCACAGATGTAAACATCTCTGGAACTAAGGTTCAGTCAGTGGAAGCTGCTTCAGCTTTCCAGACTGACTCTGAAAAGCTCAAAAAATAATGGTACTACTATTCTGAAGTGAGGTTACTTCCTTCAACATCTGTGGTGAATATGTGATACAGGCTGCTATAAGCATCACACATATTTAAAACTAACAGGAGATGTTGAAAGTTGGTCCAGCCACATTGTGGTCATTAGGAGGAGGGAGCTACATAAATGCTTCATGAGATACATATGCTATACTAGGGGTACTAAGGGCTTAGCCTATTCTGCTAAATCTCCCATCCTGTCCAGATTTTGGAGAAATAAAAAAAACCTTTCCGAAAGATAAAATATAGGTAGGCCCACAATATCTATCTTTTAGCAGTCCTCAATGATGAGATATTTACCTTCTGTTTAGCTGATAACATTTAAACTAAGCTCTACCCTTGCCTACTGCACAAAAGAAAAGAAGAAAAAATTCAATAAAATATCTGGCAACATTTACTACATTATTTCTAATGACTCATTAAAATAATGACACTTCCTTATTATGGAATGTTAGTACCATTGTCAAAACAGTGCTCTACAGATGTGTCTTCAGATTTATTTTTTTTTTTAAATAAAAATTAAGAATAGTGGTCTTTTTTTTTTTCCAATCACAGAAGCCTACTTTTCTGAATCAACCAGAGGCATTATTATTTGTTTTTATTAACACATACAAAATTACTAGGGTATACAAATGTGTTTCCTTTTTGGACACAGTGAAAGCTAAATTAATGGGCATTACAGCATTAGTTTACATCACACTGTTTCAAAAAACCCCACCATTTATGATTAAACAAATAGGTTTTATATATAGATATAAAAAGAGCTTGAAATAGCTGGATAACAAATCATTGATTTATATTATCAAAAGGCTGGGAGCAATTGTGTCTCCTATGATTGTGCCCTTAGCTTTCAAATTAGGATGTCCACTGATATGAGTTCCCATTTAAAAAAAACCAAAACCACAACAAACCAAACAAAACCAACCCCAAACACCACCTGACTCCCCCCCAAAAAACCCAGAACAACCACCCCCCCCAAACCATAAAAACTCAAAGCAATGGCACAACTTTCCCCAAGGTAATAACTTTTCCTGACAGCTTCAAGCACAAATGGATTGTTTTAAATATCACATAAACCTACTGTAAATTAAAAAAATAGAGTATTACTTTACACAATGCATGGAAACCATTTCTAGTGAGCACAAACATTTACAACTGTGTCATGTTTTTTACTTGCATAACCCATACTCACACACAAACCAGTTTTCAAAAGGATTAGTGAAGTATTCAGTCCATTTTTGTGTCTTTTATACAACATGAAATGGTTACAATACCATAGTATTTTTAAAAATAAGTTAAACATCAAGACATATGGCAATAGCATTGTACTATTCTTTCTACATACATAAGAAATCCAGAAATTCAGTCTATTTTTATTCAGTTGCAGAAATGAATAAAGACTAAGATCCAGTTATACTGGAAAACTAGACTAGTTCTAGAAACCACAAATACTGTAAGCGCTTTGGTATAATATGTACAGATTGTGCTGTCAATATCATGCTTGCATACTAGAACTGAGCAACAGATTTCAACTGGTGAATTAAAGTTAAAAAAAAAGTACCATAAGTCTTGCTTTCTTATTTTTTTCGAAATGATTCAGTCAAAGAAGATGCACCGCGAGTACACACACAGCATTTGTAAGATGTGACTACAAATTAAATATTACAGTGTTTTTTAAATACAATGCAAGACCAGTCTTCTTAAGTGCATAGAACATAATGCAGAATACTGTTAATTACAGGGACAAGTACAAAGATATTAAACATTTTGACAGATATCGACCAATGTTCCCACTAAAAAAAAAAAAAAAAAAAAAAAAGGTGTGAATGAACATTCTTCTATGGTTAAAAAGATCAACATGTTTTTTCCCCCCTACTGGTAAGAGAAACATTAACTGCTGAATCAAAGATATCTACTGCATCCATTTTACCTCTGTCTCTCAAAGGCTTAGAATTGCACCTTCAAACTCTTAAGCAGTTTGGATATTTGGTTTGGGTTCTTTTTCTCCTTTTTTCTCTCCTTTCTATTAACAAAAACTTTTCTCTTCCTGAAAGTGGAACTCAAAAAGTGCATTTTAAATTAAAGGGTTTACTTTTCCCTCCCTATTTTATGGATGCATTTACTGTGGTTTAGAAATTTTATCTTAACCTATTCATTCTTTCTATCACTACAATTTGTCAGAATGTCTCAGATTTATTCAGGTAACCTTGCCAAGTTATGCAGTCCTTCCTTTTGCAAAGCAAATGGTATTAAATTCTAAGAAAGCCAAAATACCGCAATCCTTATTCAAGTGAAATCCCAAATTAAAGAGTGAGAACTACGGGATCTTCACAAGATTTGGACTGTATGCAAAGTCTTCCTAAATTTGTATTTCATCTTTTGGATTTTAGGATATATTAAACTGCAAATACCATGTTCAACTAATACTGCAAGTCAGCTTCAGACTATAATCTCAGGAATGAAATGGTAGCCCCAAAACTCTCAGCCCAACCAGAGGAAACTCATTCCAATCACTACTAATTTCTTACACAACTTAACAACTCATTTAACATGTAAACACAAGGGATGACAGTTCTCATTTGAAGCTCCTATTGTTGGCAAGTAATACTTCACTGGTATCAGAAATACTTTAGTTAATGTCTCTATTTCCCCCATTTCTAAGACGCTTTTTTCTCCTTACAGAAACTTTAGCTATTTAACATCAAACCAAACAATTGCACAAAAGCTACAGCGCCAAGCTTTGCTAAATGAAACTGCTGGAGAGCACAAACAGGAGAAAAGAATTTGACCGTGGTTGTTGAGTGGGCTAGAAGTCAACTGAGTATAACACTAATGTTAACACATTCCTTAATTGAAATGATTAATTCTTAGCAGAAGTAAATTACGATCAGCATGATCTTACTGTAGGCTAGTTGGTGACCCAGCCAGACTTTTGTGCAGATTAGGGTTTTGACTGTGCCTGTTCCGACTGCGAACAGATGAAAACATTGTGTTGCAGCCTGGGACTTTACATTTGTGGAGCTGGCGGAGATGCACAGTTTTGTAATGAGCCCTGAATGTTCCTTTATTACTATAAGTTTTTTGACATATATGACAAGTTATTGGCAAACTGGAAGGTAAATTTGTGAAGTTTTGATTAGCTTTCTCAATTAAAGTACCGTCTTGGTAAAGTTCCTCATTTGACATTAGGCTGGGTCCTTCACAGCTTTCATCGCTATCATCCAAGGGCATGGTGCATATTTCACTTCCTCCGTCAGAATCCCAAGAAGAATGAGCACTGCTCTCAGATTTAATGCTGGAAGTAGTGCTTAGATCCAGAACAGCTCCATCATTCAATGGATCGTATCCATAACTCTCAGAACAGGGTTCTCTAACTTTGCTCATTGGAAAAACCAAGCTGCCTGTTCTGTTCATTCCTTTGAAGATTACAGAAGTATGTCCAACATGTTGTTTTAAAGAGACATCTTGACAAAACTCCTTAGCCATGTCTTTCAAGAGGTATGTTGCATTGAAATGGTTGTTGAATTCCAGTGTATCTTTAGTCAGAAGCTTATGATGAAGATTTAGGTTTGAACTATGTCTAGAAGAACAAAGACAAGCTTAGCAAGAAAGTGTTTTGCCTCACTTAACAGCTGTTTCATAATGATCATTAACAAAGAAAAAAATCAATATTTAGTAGCATGCATGAACTGTATACTTCTAATTTGACCAACTGCCACACTGGGAGTGCACACAGATGATTTACACATGCGACTGGGTATCTGAACTTGTTTGCACCGGCATATATCACAAATAAGTACAGAAACAAATATTTCAGATTCTCTCCTGCATTGTGGATAGCTGTCTGCTCCACTAGATCTAGTGCTGGGCCTAAAAGAGTTGGGTGACAGACTAAAAACCTGTATACTGAACTGAGATCAGAGAATGGTGAGGAGGTGAAGAAACAAGATTCTCTCCCAATGGACAAAGCAGGAAAGGAGTGACACCCAAGTCTGCTAAAAATATTTATGATCCCAAGTACTGTAACCACGTGCCAGGATGCAACCGTACACATCAGTACAGAGCTTTTCCTTGACAGCAATTTCCTTGAAGAAAGGAATATTGCATTTTATGCAACTTGCAGTTTTCCAGTGGGCATCTCTGGATTCAGTTTAAAACCACCAAAACATATGAAATCACCGCTCCTTATTGAATACTATCAGTCAGCTCACTGGGAACTTCCAGGCTCTGGCTAGAAGATTCATTTTTTTGCAGGACAGAGAAAACATTCATTTCCCCCCCTTGCCATAACGGTTTAATCCAAACCATGAACTATTTAAAAGGGCACAGAAATGTTTTGCTCTTGCAGTCACAGCACTCTATGTTAAAGTCTAGAAACTTCTGCAAAGTTGTTCCAAATAACTACCGTTTTGCACAAAGCTTGTGAACTTTCTGGTGAGTTGGCGCCTTTTTTTTTTTTTTTTTTTTAAATAAACCACCTTCCAAAAGCACCTACACTAAAGCTTAACTGACTGTATTGGTGTGGGAAGGAATTTGTGGCATGTGAATGCACATCTAGTTTCCTGTGGCCCGTATCACAGTTACAGTGGAGAGGAATTCACATCTGGGAAGATACAGGCAGCAGACCAGGGTACGAAGCCCTGCCAGCAGCAGATGAATCTGTGAGTCTCAGATGCAGCAGCCAGCCCTCAGAGACTGGCTCATCCTCTCTCTGGACTGCATCAGCTGGCTCCAGTACTCCTCGCAGATTACAGACAATCTAAACCTTGTGTCACTCTGAACTGCTATCCAGGCATGATTCCTGCAGCCAAAAGCTGCTGCAACGCTGTTAGAGGAGAGTTAGAAAACTTCCAACACTTAGTCACATTTTAACAAGTTTGTTATCTATCATTTATCAATTCAGATACATAACTGATGGTCAACAATAAAGCTTCAGTTCTTGATTCTTGGCCTATGTGCATAATAGGCTGAAATAAAATGACAGTAAAATGCAACACAGCTAACAGTAAACTGATTCAAGATCGTGATCTAGTTTAGGAATTACTGTAATCTCACGTAAAATCACTACCAATGTGGATACACACCAGATAGTGTTAGTTCAACTAGCACTGTGTATTGTTAATTTTGTACTGACAGAGTAATCTTACTTTTCTTAAGGGTTTTTTCCCCCACCAGTCTGTTCAAAATCCTTGAGTAAAGCAAGGACAAGGGCAAGTGAAGATTTCCTGAACTGATCTCATTGCTTTTTCATTAAAGAACACTGTATACATTAAAATACACATGAAAGTACATATTAAACATGTAAGTCCACACATGCATCTACTGGAAAATTGCTGAATTCATACCCTTGTGGCTTTCCCTTTATGTTCTAAAGTATTCTTTCAACTATTGCAGTCTTTATCAGTTATGAAATTTTCACGGCTTTATTTAATACCTCAGTCTACTGGAAAGGAAATGTTTCTTTCAATGGATTTTCATTTCACAAATGTTCTGATAAGTTATCGTACCTGTTATACAAGGATATACAGAAAATCTTTGCAGGCTCCATTCCTCAAACACTCATTTTAATTTCAAATTAGGCTCCATTGTGATGGTAAAATAAATACAATTTTGTTTATAATTTTCTTACCTGTCTCGACTTCTACGAGAAGGGAAAGCAGCATTACAGCCCTCAACTGTGCAAATATGCATTTCTTTGAGATGTACATTTTTAAAATGCATTTTTACACTGTAAGGGTTTTTAAAAGTCTTCTTACAGATGTCACAATGAAAGCGGCTTTCTTCCTTCTGAATCCCTAGTGCATGTTGACTGACATGATCCATATCTTTACAGTCTTCAAAACAAGGAATGGCAGCACCCCTGTTTGACAAAGTGCTGAAAAAGCCCCCGGTCAGCAAGTGGTGTTGCAATTCAGGGCAGTCGTTTTTAGGAATCCTGCGCTTTGACTGCTCTTTAATATACATGGGGGGTTCAGTCATTGGTTTTATAACATCATTGTGGTGGTGTTTTGGATCTTCATATATAATCTCATGGGAAACTATTTTTAATGGTTGGTTTTCTTCTGGTTTAATCTCTTTCTCATAGTGATGCAATTCATTCTCAAAGATATCCTTGATGTATTTGTTATTTGGCGCAAAGACAGATTCAAAATACTTTGGGCCCTCTACCCCAGAGACAGATTTCCATGAATTACCTGAATTGGGGTGCTTTTCCACCCTGTCGGTCACCCGCTTCTCTATCTTATGCTCACAGGTCTCAAGCTCTCCATCGCTTACCACTTGCAGACGTGTATCGTCTTCAGAACTGGCAACATCACTACTTTCATTAGGTGTCTCAACAGCTTCTTTCTCTATCTTAATAGGCATACTTGATTTACGAGATTTCTTCTTGGGTAGCATGTCGAATGGCAATTCATTTGAAACAAGCTGCTCTGGTATTGAAGAAGAAACAAGAGGCAGAGAAGGAAGAGTACCTGGAGTATTAGCAAGCTCAGCTGGTGTGACTGGACTACGATAAAAAGGAAGAACAGGCTGTACTGTCTTCAGGTTTGGAAAGAGAACACCATTCTGCCCAAGACTGGGAAATCCAGCCTGACCCTTTGAATCCGTACAAGAGCTGCCATAGCTGGTAATAGTTCTGCTATCCGGAGTTAGAATTGTAAATTCCGTCCTTTTACCATCTCCAGGTCCAGCAATAGTCAAACCATTTCTTAGATCTTTATCCCTGTTATTTCTATTCATGGGCATATGGAGTCTGGGGTTAGGATTTGCACTGTGACGATTTCGACTACGCAAGGAGCTAAATACCATATTGCAGCCCTCAATTGTGCATTTGTGCTTTATCTTCAGATGAACAGCATTGTAATGTATTTTCAAAGTACCTTTGTCATAAAATGTCTTTTCACATGCAGTGCAGAAAACACGCCCTTTCCTTGGCCCAGTGCCATTTTTTTCAACTGATTTCATTTTGTTTTCTGGAGATAGTGCTGTCATTTCAAGCTTTGCTGCTGTATTATGTGAACTGGAATCACTTAAAAGGGCATCATCTTCTGTTTTAGTGGTGACATCTGGACCATTTATGTTCCTCTCATTTTCAACTTGAAATGGTGCAGAACTAGAAGTTAAGAAGCTGCTTTCAGAAAATGGTATCTGAACATCTTGTTTCGTTTCATTGCTATGGTCTTGACCTTGCTCAATCAAATGTCTTTCTGGTGGTGAACCTATCAAAGGTGGAGGCACTGGACTGAAAAACTGGAACGGCAGCATGAAAGCCATGTTATTTACAATATTCTCAAAGGGATGAATGTTGGTGGGACTCATTTTGTCCAAGGAAGCAGAAAAATTTGGACTGTGTTGATTGCAGCTCTCGATGAATGCCCTAATATCCAAATTGGCAGTTGGTGGTGGTATTATAATTGATTGCCCTTCTTTCTCTTGAATTGCCATTAACTCTACAATGGACTTAGTTTCTCCAAAACGAAGAAACTGCTGCAAAGTAGCCAGTTCTTCTTCAGTGGTCATTATGCTCCAGTGATCCAGCACTTTTCCTGATGCATCCTAAAGCCAAAAATATTTAAATGAGTCAGACACTAGTTAAGGCAAACAAGAAAACACTCCTCCAAATCCTTCATCTTTGAGGACTAAAAATTCTTCTCCAGTGAAGCGATAAAATCACTCTATTTAATGAGAGATTAACGCCAATTCTGTGATATTTCCTTCCAAGTTTTACCACACTGGTGATATTATTTATTTCTGAACTGACAGTAATACTTTCCAATAAACTGCTTTTTTCCTCCACAAAAATTAAGACACGTCATTTGAACAACAGTATCATGTAAGTACAGACAGCAGAGATGGAGCAATCAGACCAAGATTTAGCTCCTCATTTAAGTCAAGTATTCTTTCATTGCAAGTTTAATAATCTTCCAAGCAACCAAGATCAGAGAACAAATGAACCTGTATTGATCTATTGCCAGTGTTCACAGAGCACAGCTGTAATTACACTAGAGTGTTGGAGTTCTTTCAAACTCTAGCTATGCCTAACTTTTCCCAATAACTACAATAAATATTTTATCACAGAACATGTATTTGATGGCCTACTGAGATTTTTCACAGTGCATGTAAGAGTTTCTAAGATGATGAAGAACGTAACATTATAAATTTTTCATGTGGTAGAGGTTCAAGGTAATTGATTCCATATTTTTAATCCTAACACTAAAAAGCAAGATTATCAAGACCATTAAATATTGATTCGTGTCATAATGTAAGATCATAATGTTACTTTACATAAAAGATAACTTCCACAGTAGCAAGGAGTAACATCAGTGTAAGCACATAGGGCCAAATTCATCCTTGTAGCTCCAGTAAGGTCAGTAGCACTACATCAGAGATGAATGTTGTCCCCGGTGTTTAAAATGACGGCAAGTTTATTTGTCAATATATTATTCTGCTGTATAAGGGTAAACTCACTGTTTAAATAATACTGGAGCAAGTTCTGAAGTCTTTACTTTGATGCATTCCTAGTAACTTTCTTTTTATCTTGGCTTACCTTTGTTGACAGATTTGCGCAAACTAGGAAGATTTCAGGTAAGTCTTACTAAAAAGAGAGCCATGACCCAAACCCCACCCTTTCTTTTCTGGCACTAAGCTTGTACAAGTCTATTACTACCTTTCAGAGTTACCACACTGGTAACATGTTATGAACCACTGATAAGTTTATGCTAGAAAACATTATGAAATACTACTTAGCTATCATATTCATATTTAAAAAGCCCCTCTAAATACCTGTAGCACATAGCCACGTATATAATCCTGTAGTGTCCAATCCAGAGCATGGAGAATCTGTATCACCTCTTCCTGCTTCAGAACACTGAAAAGCCGATCTAGCAGAATTTTAAGGCGCACAGGAATGGCTTGGGTTCCATACAACATGAGGCTACTGATATCAAAGACAACATTGGATTGAACTATTTCTACCTGGCTTGATGGGTAGAGGTTGGGAATCCTTAATTTGCTCAGGGCTGAAAATAAAAATTACAAAATGTAAATAAACTTAAGTCACAAGAGATGGAACTAATATTGGGGTGTGGGGGGATGAGGGGTGACACAAAAAGCATGCTAGAGTCAGGAGGATCCTAAAAGGTTTTACACAGATTGTAAGAACAAATATTACCATGTGCTACCCATCCGTGCCGGCACTGGTCACATTGTCGCTGATTTATTTTCCCAGGTTTGAAACACTGACAACTACAGTTCATGAGAGTGCATCGGATAGCCTAAAAATCAATAGAAAGGGTGACAGGTAATTTGTAAATATCATCTAGAGTGTGCAGATTATACATATACAATAGACTCAGAAAACCCATATGAAGACAGAGTTAACGTATGAGCACGAACCTGTCAATGTGCAATATAAGTAATCCAGGCAAAACCCGAGTTATGCAAGACTACCTTTGCTTTAACGAGAATCGGTCACCAGCTAGAACACTAGAGTATTATGGAAGCAGAATATTTAATGACATACGTAACAACACTTCTGTGGATTTATTTAGGCTGAAGCATCTTTACAACAATAATAAAGTGTTCTTGTGCATTCACCTAAGCTATGATCTTCATGTAACATCTCTTTTTTTCAGAAGGTTTGAAAAGACAGACATACAGATGCAAGTCCCACTCTCTTGAGGTTTTGCTGGAACTCCATACTGCAATATAGGAAGTTCTAATGAGCAACGTGTTAGCTCTGCACAGACGTCATCCCTTACATACAGCAGTATCCACATGGAATGGAGGTATCCTGTCAGAGATGCAGGAGTTCACTAATGCTTCTCAGTAACAAAACTTACCAAAAAGTACTCCAACTCCTCAAAGACTAGAGCAGTCACATTTTGTAAGGGAAATGCTTGAAAGGTAATAGGCAAAATAGAGCACACAAACATAGCAACCAGTTGCACAGTTCAATTTGTGCATCACTTTACTCTCGTCAAGGCCATCTATAATGCAAATCAAATTAGTATTCAGATACTCCTAATCAACAGGGTAATACAAACTGGCTTCCTGGAATATATGCTTTCTTCTGCATGTGCCCATCTGCTGCAGAAGGCAGACAGACAACTTTGAGGTCCTAGTTAAAGCTCCATAGGGATTGATATAGAGCAAAGCATTTGTAGGATTCTTTATTGCTTAGATCCGATACTGAGAATAGTTCCTGCTTAAATAGAATATTTATTAAGGGAGGGAAAGTTAAGAAATAAATGTGCAGAAAGTCTGCACTGGAATAAAAAATTGTAAAATGTCCACATTTTTCTGTTTTTAAAAGAAAATGTTTTACATTTGAAAGTGCAGAGAAGCAAATATGAAATCAGGCAAAGTTATGCCCACTATTGGCTGCTACTACTGCTGCTAGGGTTTTATGCAAAATGGGGACTTCCACTACTTATTCATACCCATATAAAAGCAAGACAAGACTTGAAGAAAAGAGTAACATCTTTTCAATGCAGGCATCCCCACATTGGCACTCTTGGAAAACGTACAAAGAAGCAAGTTTTTGGACAATCAGGCTAAGAAAGATGGATACAGGAAACGTTTAAAATGAAAAGGACACAAGAGAAAGGTAATTTCACTCGGGTTTGCAATGGGCATTTCTTTAGGCTTGAAGAATTTGACTGACTCCAGGCAGAAGAGGACCCGACACACAACAATCTACTACAAACAAGCATGTGCAGGATACTTGGATGCCTAGTGCTTGACATGACTGGATTTGGACTAAGATTTGAAAATCTCAGTAGCTGGTTTATTAGGAGTTAGCTTACGTGCACATCTCCAAACTACAATGACTTGATGCAGAGATTCACCTTTATTTAACGGATTGGAACAAGTGGCAACAGGGCTATTGAAATCTCTGAATCACTTAGCCTTTCATCTTTTAAAGGAGCCATTGCAAAATACCGAATTCTTGAGGAAAAACTCTGTGCTCCCCATAAAGTCATAACATATACATCAATACCCTACGCAGTGTGAATTGCTTCACTTTAACGGAGGATATATTTTCACTTGGATGCTAAAATATTTTCATGTAACAATAAAAATCCATAAATTTCTTATGGAGAGGTTGGAAAAAAAAGGTGTAGTTGGCTGCTGATTAATTTTCATCAAATATATCAAACAATAATGCAGTTCAAGTCTTCTACTTCTGTACATACATAATATTCTGTGACTTTTACAGACTGAAGCCCTTCCAAAGGTGACCCTGCTAGGTTCAGAAAGCTACAATGCATTCCATGGATGCATCTTTTGCAGTCTCTCCAGACAAAATCACAAGAGAGCACTTCCTTTTTGTGCAAGAAGTAACAGAAATATGCACAATGAAAAAAGCTGTCATGATGATAAGTTAATTGAGATTTCAAAATTTTTTTCATTCCTTTTCCTTTGGACATGTTCCATAAACCACTGACCTTTAAAATTATTTTTTCTTCTTAATTTGTGTACTTAGACAAGAAAGATATACCGCAGGAAATTTTGCATTTCATAGCTCTGTGTAAGATTTGTCTTCTATATGGTACATGCCTTTTGTCTTCCTGTATATGTGTAGAAGACTGCAAAAACAGGGCATTTTGTGTAAAAACATATGAAAGCAGCTATTAGAAAGTTCCCCATCTATCCTAAATATGGAACTGAACCCATCTCAAGTCAATACATTGCTGCTTCTGGACACCAGTCTTAGATGTACTTAGCTTGCATACTGCTAACATATCAAAGGTATACCCTCAAATCGGGGATCGGTCACTGACTTAAAAAATTACTTGTAAGAATCCCTGAGAACAAACAAGCGTGATTTTCAGGTTGGTGGCATTTCTTTTCATTTGTACTTGTCAGAGTCTGTGTCTCCTAAAACTTTTCTAGCAACATTTGTGTTAACATAGTCACAGAGAATACACAACATGGCAAAACTAACTTTTAAAATAATCAGTGAGTCACAATTTTAAATCTTCATTCATTGTTCAACTTAAGGCACTTGTAAAAGATGCACTTTGATTATCTTGAAAATTAACTTATATCAGAGCTTAATGAAGAGAAACTTAGCAAAACTTCATGAGATTAATATGTTTGTCTTTTGCCTGTTAATCCTACTAACCTTAATACGCCTATTCTAAGGTACTGTAATTATATCAAGTCTTTTAATGAGCTTTATTTTCCCAACAAGTGGAATGTACACACAATTTCATTCTACAGAACAAAGGAATAACTTTCTATATTGCACACATGTAAAGCTTCAAAATCATAATTAAAGGATTGGAAATGTAGATGGAAATTAAAGTGGAAATTTTTTTAAAGTGCAATTTCATTCAGGTCTATTATTTAGTTTCATTTTTCAGAAACATAAGGCAGATGTTTAAAAAAAATAAAATGTTTTGCTATCATCAAGGATCTTGTTATTGCTTTCAAAATTCCCTCACAAATGGATCTTTCCAAATCCATTATCAGCAACATTTTCTTGAAAAATCTGATCAAAATTTTCTGTGGTTTTACCAGCATGACTGTGGGAATCTGAACATTGGATTTTTAATACAAATGATTCAACATTACAAGACAGATTAACCATTAAACTGGCCACTGAAAAACATCTAACTACTAATCACTGAAAAAGAAATCTTAACATCTGTTGCCTGGAAGTCACGACTGCTGACATCTTTTTTGCCAGATACTGATGTGACTTTGATTATGCTTCAAAAGTAACTGAACGTTTCTTTGCAACCCACTTGCAGCCGTCACGGCTAAAGAAAAGCACAAGCTAATGGGACAAGTTCATTCTGATCCTGGGTATATAATCAGGCTTCATTTCAAAAAGCAAGTTTGAGATCATCTATGCTCTCCTGAAGCCTTTTGGGACCTATGATCACTTGCAACATACTAACAGCACGTTTCAAAAAATGCAGCAAGAGAAGAAGGGCAGTATGACTGTATCAAATCTCATTCAGTATTAAGTGGATTCTTGTTTGACAGCACTTTGGCTTACAAAATAAATTAAAAAGTAAGTAAATATTGAAGACCCTGTCAGAACTGAGTTAGAGATCTCTGCTCACACTAAAAAGGTGGTCTGGCTCTCTGCACGCAGAGAGCTGCAAGTACAGACACCAGTAAAATGGAAGAACAAGTCCCAGATTACCCTGGCACTATTTAGCATCGGTAATGCACAGGTCAGCACCCTCACTTGTTTTTGGCATTGTCGTCTTTGCACAAAGCTACCCCTCACTTTAGACACTGCTTTTGTTTTTAAGCTACTGCAATGGCATGAAGAGTGTGAGAGCTTCGCTGCTCTGCTATGAGGATTACTGACAAAGTGGTGTCATTGGTGCCATGTTACAGGAACATCTTTTCCAAGCAGGGATTAGAAATTCCTATCAGTTTAAAAATGCAAGTTTGAAGAAGAAACAGGACTTACACGAAATAAATGTGTGAGAGAGAAACTTTCATTAGGTGAGATGTAACAGATACCACCTTTCATGTCCTCTATTGAGTCCTTCTAGCAACAAGCCATCTCTTCTATGGCCATCTCACCTTCATTTCCCAGAAAAAGTAATCCCAATGAATATATGTAACCCTGCAAGATGCGTACTCTGGTGAGCACATATCCTACAGGAAAGAACAGGGACACGTCCCATTTCTGCAGAACAGACTTGCAGTGGCTCCATGGCAAGAACACTTGTGGAGGAAGAGGCAAGATTTATCACGGGGGAAGATCAATTTGTAAAGCACTAGGCTTTTTTGTCTGCCAGTCAAGTAAAACATGAAAGCCTTTACTTCCTAGAGTACAGGTAACAACTTTCTTACATATTAAGAATAATCCACAGAAATTAAGTTCCCTTTTTGGTTTATAGAAATAAAATTAAGATACGACATATGTCTGGTTATTAGGAAATCTTTTTTTGCTTGCACCTTGTAAAAGACTGGCAAGGGAAGTAAAGGGATGGATACATTTATATCTCTTAAAAGTACAGTCCACAGCTAAATCAAATCCAAATCTGTGTGTATCTTTCAGTAAAGAAAACAGTTACTATACATGAGTGTGAAGTTGCCTTCCTGTCCAATTTATTTTCTTTCCCATTTTTACTGTTATCCACCATGTTTCTTGGGGTTGCAAAGCTTAAATAAGTCTTCCTTTTTCCATCACCCAGTTACATTTGATTACTTCTGCTTTTGAACCCTTTGAACAATCACTGAAAGCAGAGACAAATTAAGAAATCCTTATCTTAAGCATCTCTGTCAATGCCATACTTTT